AAACAAAACAAAGATAAATTGAAAATTCTATAAGGCTAACTGACCAGTTAGAGCTTTGTGATTGTAGAGTTGGAATGCTGCAGATCTAGAGCAGCCAGATCACCTTGAGTTGTCGTAGATCCTTTAATAGCCCTTTTTTTCAATTATGAGCTAATATCTTTGTGTAAAAACCTCTGGAATGCATCCTTAGCCTGCCACTAATTTGCAACAATCCAAGAGTGAAGCATGCCATCAGATAACATCTAAAACATGTAGTATAGTTTCCCTCACTGTGCTCTAACCCTTGGTTGATTTTTTTTTCTGTGACTACAAAAGTTTGTATTGCCTACACCACAATAGAACATGTAATCATATCTGGCAACCTGGATCTGTGTTCCCAGGTCATAGTCACTCATACTTGCCTTAGAATAACCTCTCCTAACTCCTTTAAGAAGGGAGATAGATGCCTCCCAAACAGATCAAGCCAATCAACTGTCTCACCTATTCAGAGGGCCTGATCAGTTGGGGGCCCCTCAGCCTTTGGTTCATAGTTCATGTGTTTTCATTCGTTTGGCTATTTGTCCCTCTGCTTTATCCAACCTTGGTTTCAACAATTCTCGCTCATATAAACCCTCCTCTTTCTCGCTAATTAGACTCCTGGTGCTCCACCCGGGTCCTAGCAGTGGATGTCTGCATCCAGATTCCTCAGTCCTTCGATGGGGTTTCTACAGTGGTACCAGGTCCTGGGTTCGTTGCATGAGATAGCTGTTTGAAACCTGGGACTTATGCAGGGACGCTTGGCTCAATCTGGGAGGAGGGGACTGGACCTGCCTGGACTGAGTCTATCAGGTTGATCTCAGTCCTCGGGGGAGGCCTTGATCTGGAGGTGGTGGGAATGGGAGGGGGGGAGAGGAGAGGGGCAGGAAGGGGGAGAACAAGGGAATCTGTGGCTGTTATGTAGAACTGAATAGTATTGTAAAATAAAATAAAATAAAATAAAATAAAATAAAATAAAATAAAATAAAATAAAATATTGAAGAAACTTTCCTAAAACCTACAAAAAAAAAAAAAAAAAAAAAGACGGGAGATAGAATTTTCTGGAAGAGCTCTGAAAGTTGCACAGCCTCACTTCAGATGGATGGCCCTTGATGGAATCCTTACTCGCTGAGTTCCTGCTGGATCTGCTTAGTCTGTGTTTTCCTCCTTGCAGGGAATATTCTTTTGTCCTTAAACTACTGATTCATCCCCCAGATTCCGACTGCAGACTTCATCCCCTGAGCTACTCCGCAGGGTCTCTGGCCTCCCGCGGTTTACATTCCAGTGGGAGAAACAGGAAATGGTGGTGCAGTCAGTGCCGGGGCTGAGGCTGGGGACAGTGTGCTTTGAAAGCGTGAGAAAAGCCAGCGACCCCATCACAAGTAGGGCAGAGTTTGGAGAGAAGTGGAGTCTTCCTGGAAGAAGAAATGTGACCTGGAGGGCTGACTTGACTGTGTGAACAGGAGCCAAAGCCATGTTCTGGGCAGAGGGAAGAGCATGCACAGAACCTCAGACAGAGGGAACATGGTTAATAAAAGATTCTACAGAGATCGAGGTTGACTGTATGTACTAAGAGAGACTAGAGATGAAGAGGATAAAGGGAGAAGTAATTTCCATTGTTTGAAACATGATAAGCTCTACACTCCCAGCGAGCAGTAGAGTTTATTTGCATTTTAGAGAAATCAGAGTTAAAGAGAGGAGACTGGAGAGGTCAGGGAGATTATCCAATCTCTAAACCCGGGAAGACCCTTCCTGGGAAGTTTCAGACAACATCAAAAAGGCTGAGTTCCCCAGATGTAGCATTTAGGATAGGCTAAATATCTGGTTATTGATTAAAACCTGGCAGTGAAAAAGAAAATAAAAAGCCTTTGAATGCTCTTAATGATTGAGCCCAGTTCATGTTACTCTTTCCTGAATGGTAAAAGCACACGCTGAAGAGTGTTTTATTAATATATGCTGGAAGAAAATTGTTATATGTAAGCTAGGGTGCTTTACTTTACAATGACAGATACAGGAAAAATGTCCACTGTGTTTCTATTTGCCAGCCTAACCATAACAAAACCACCTACTCTTAAGTATTATCTTAGCACAGTAAATTTTTCACGATAATAGACAATTTCAAAACTAGAAAGACAAAAATTCACTTGTTCAAAGGTAGGAAAAAATGAAATTTTTACAGTATCCAAAATACCTAGTTTCATTTTCCACAGTCTTATTCAAGGGGACACAAAATAAAAACATATTTAATTTAAAGATGTTAATACCTGTTTAATATTAAATTGTAACTGAGCCTTTTTCTATTCTTTGGCATCATCTTTGTGGCTAGGTGACTTACTTCTTAGCTCATTTCCAATGTGAAAGTTCATACGTGGTGCTGTGGTCTGGTGAAAGGCCATGGCTGGGGAGCGCACAGGCTAACAGGTGACCCTACCACTTCTGTTTTGCTAAATCAGCATACTGACAGCTGAAACTGCTAGCTTCCTGCTGATAGACCAGCTCTATCTTCAGCCTAAGTCAGAGAATCTTCTTTTTGTTGCAAATAGTAGTTAGTGAGGAAACTTGTGGCCTTGAATGTGTGATGTTTGAGTCATTTTGTTCAACCCCTGCTGGGACAACCGTACCACTGCTTCCCCAGCTCAAGGAACACCAGGGAAGGGGGAAGAAAAGGAGTATACAGCCCACAGGATCGGGAGGATGACCATGAAACATGTCTTCTAAACATGCCATGTCCAATGCACTCATGATCTCAGAGAAGCTGTGGCTGCCTTTTCTAGACTGAACTTGTCAGATATGGGTTCTGGAGGGAGCCATGGGGCTCTGGCTCTCATGAGAGAGATATTGGCTATTGGTAGTTGTGGTTGCTAAGGGAGAGGAGAAAACTGTCTTCAGTGATGTAGCTACTAGCTCATACCCATACCCACAGGGGCAGTCTTGGTTGAACCCAGTGCGTCATAAAACAAAGCAAAACAGAAAGATAGGATAGTGGGGTGAAGACCTGTTACAAGGAGTGGGGAACTGATAGAGATGTAGGCGACAGGAAAGGGTGGGGAGGTGAGTGTTACCAGGGCGCAATACATAATGCACAAAATTGTCAAATAATGATAAGCTTTTATAAAGTGTTGAGGGACCTCCCCCGTTAGAGCATCTACAGCTGGGCAAGGCAGCTTGAGAGCACAGAGAAACACAGCCACAGTGAGGCATGGGCCTTCATCACTCTGCCATGATACATGAAACAGATAGATGGTCAAGATAAGTACAGGTGGGATAGAGGAATTAGTAAATCTACCTAAATATGTGGGCTGTTGTATAGACATGGCCATTCAGAGTTTCACGAAAATGGAGTAATGCTGGAAGCTAAAACGTCATTGGTGGAGCGGAATAGATGGCTCAGCAGTTGTGTGCATCTACTGTTCCTCTCCTGTCCTCTGTGTGTGCACATGCACACACACACACACCATATTTTTTAAAAACTTTTCTGGTAAGGTAAAAGTGGCGAGCAAAAATAACTTAAAAATAGACTTTGCCTGGGTGTTGGTGGCGCATACCTTTAATCCCAGCACTCAGGAGACAGAGGCAGGTGGATCTCGGCGATTTCGAGGCCAGCCTGGGCCTCAGGGTGCATTCCAGGACAGGCACCAAAACTACACAGAGAAACCCTGTCTCGAAAAAACAACAAAAAACAAAAAACAACAACAAAAAATGGACTTTGTATTCAAAAATATAAAATCCCTCCAATACTTGGAAGTATCAAACTCCAATCCATTTGAAATAATCAATTTAAAGGCCATCAGTTTGACTTTAATTTTAGCAGCTACTTCACTTGGAAGGGACAGCATTTTGTGGACAGCAGGACTTTAGTAAGTCCACAGCTGGAGACTGTAAACCAGCGTTCATCTTGATTTAATGCTGCTTTAAGTTTATAAGAAAAATGTTCCTGTGTAAACAGCAGACATTTTGATTAAACACAAAAGTTCTTATTTTGGCTGTTAAATCAATAATGCAGCTGGCCTTGGAGTCGTTTACATTCTCCCAAAACTGGGCTTCAGTTCAGCTGGTACTGCGCTGACATCATTTTCCAGCAAGGCCTAGCTACTTGCAGCAGTCAGGTTAGGAACACTCTTTGCAAACAAGCCCCATGACGCTGGGCATTCACACATTCATCCAGAGGGTCTCACAAACGCCAGAGCTCAAAATAGCACAGGCGGTCCAGAAATAGTATCTCAGCAAATGGGGAATTCACTAGTACAGACTTCTACAGTAATTGTTCAATGCTGTAAGATAAAAGCCTTGGGTGGCGGTATGGTATTTGTTTTATTTTGTTACCTGAAAGGGCTTTGGATTTCCTTTTATCAATGTGTGTGTGTGTGTGTGTGTGTGTGTGTGTGTGTGTGTGTGTGTGT